GACCGTTCAGAACGACTATGAACTCTATGAACTATCAGCATCATTATCCTGCTGATGCGATGGTTGCTTACCACTGGCAAGAAGACAAACTGAGTTCAGACTCTAAGACCAGGCATGTTTTTCATTGTAACACACACACACACACACACACACACACACAAACACACGCACACACGCTCACACAAGCTGCTCCAGTTTCTTGGCCCATTTAAGCGCTGACGAGGGCATAGCTGTGGTCTGGTGGGACCTCATGCCCCATGCCAACTGAGCTGCCCATCCACCCTCACCCCTCCTCACCCATCGACACGCCCCACTCCTTCCTCACCACTCCTCAGTCCTCTTGTTGCTCTCCCCTGTTTGTCTCATCTGACCAGCCTCACTCTCACCTATTCATTCACAGATCCCTGTTTGTCTGCCAAGCATATCATATGAGCAAGCTTTTGCTTCTGTCACAGCTATCTTTGCAGCAGAGCCTCAGTTTTAACTGATGATGATACTTCTTGTTCTGTAACTCTTCAGTTCAAAGGAAAACATGAAAACCACTGTAAGCAATGAGTTGCCACAACAGTGATATGCATACAGATCCCTTCCCCTCTGTCTCTGTCTCTCTATCTCTGTCACCCTCCATCCCTCCCCTGTCCAGCTCAGCCCTTGTTTCAGGGTCCCAGGCCTCCCTAATATCTAAATCCTGACTTTGTGTGAGAGCTGGAGTGCAACAATGACCATGTTAGCTGACACAGTGCTGGCTGCCTGATCTGCGCTGACAGCATCTTCCCCCTACCACCCCATCTCTGCATGGCTCACTGGCAACAGACACATCCGTCGCTCAACTGTAGCATTGTGGGCTGGGTACAGGGCTGGATAGTGCTTCACTGGGTCCATGGGGGGAGTGTTGGGTTGGGTGGTAGGGGCAGTAGTCCACAGTTTACTGTGTATATAAAGCCCTGGAGTCTGGATGGAGGCTTGGCCAGGTTGTAGTTTGGTGAAGCTATGATGATGGGAATTATGTGATTACATCAAACTTCATGATCTAATAAGAATGACAAAGTTGGAGGTTGTCCAGCACTAACAGAAAGAAAACAAAGGAATGAGGGAGATATCAGTGAAATGCAGTTTGTACACAGCCACAGTCAGAGAAGATGCAGGATATGTGCAAACCCCTTAACAGGTTTGCAGGAGCAATATTTTAAATTGCATAAACTTTGTTGACTTTATAAAATTTATATTTGTGATTTTTATTCCTATCAGTGACATCAGATTGCCTCCTTTGTCTGAATAGCACATGGAAATGAAATGAGGATTGAAATTCTGTGTTACTGCACCTTTAGAAAAAATGAAACCAATCAGAATTAGGATGTTGTGATGTTACGATCACAACAATTAATGCAAATTCAATCAATCCCCATGAATACTGTATGGCCTTGCAATTTTGTCCAATCACTGCAACTTCCTGGGAGTTTCACCAGTCATGCCAGTCCCCTGCATAATGTCACCAAACTTAATTTCTTTCTGGTTGTGAAGATGCAGACATATGCAACACAAATGTGTTATATTTACCAGCAAAAATTACTGCTAAAAACTGTGCAAGGCAATTCCCTGATGTTTGCATGAAAATGGAGATTAACTGTTTTGGACTGTGTTCACTGTTGTGGTTAAACACAAAAGACATCGACTAAAAAAATACTTTTCTCTAACACACATCCAGAGAATGGCTGAAATGTGTAGACAAGAGACAAGACAACCATGACAAATGCTGTTGCATCCAGATCTATTGTATGTGCTAAAAGAATCAAGGTGTGATTTAATATGTATGGTTAGCGGTAACGTTATAGGGGTTTGTTTTTTGGGTTTTTTTTTTTTTTTTTGCAATTCCGCCTTGCTCCTGCGATTTGTATCACATTTTTTTCAGAAAAGCTGCTGTGCAATCAGACTCTTTTGGCAGCAACAATCCCAAAACAGCCTGTGAAATACAGGAGTAACTGATTAGCCACTAATTCAGCAGTCTTCATCACTATGTAATATTGACATTTTTCCCCACTGTTAACAGTCATGTAGGGGTAAAACCTTCAGGCAGCTCTGCTTGATACAGTTGTGTTTGGGATTCACTTGACAATGTAAGTAAAACTCCTTTTATCCAGCTGAATTATTTCCACTGGAGTGAACACCTCTCCACGTCATTTCACCTCAGTGAGCATGAAATTGTGTCCGTCTCACTTTGTACGCATTAGTGCCACCTTGAATTTTTTTCCCTGGGTGGCAGGTGCTGAATATGAGCTGAGATACAGTGTGAGCTTAGCACCTGTGGCTAAAGCCCTCGTGTTGTCCAGCATACACCATGCCAAAGTGTCCTTGAGCAAGATATTGAACCCCACCCAGTTCACTGGGTCCCCTCACTGTGGAGGAAAAGAGTTTAGCTGCAGGGATCAACAAACGCTACGTTGTGTTAGTAGTTCCACTTTCTCACATTCCCTTATCCTCAGCCCTTGGTATTACTTTAACAGCTAATGTCACACAAAGGCCACTGGGAAAGCAGGCGGGGCATTCAAATGCAACACACGTGCAGCCGAACCTATCGTGGATTGACTGCCAGTTGCAGGGTTAGCAATATATTGTTTTTTACAAATCATTAGGAATACCCAGACTTATTTTAATTAGGCAAAGGCATCTTCTGTGAATAACTGCAATATGACACCACTTGGTTATTAACTACATCAGTTTCTGATTTAAAGATGTGTGTTTGTGATCTGTATTCTGATATTCATGACTATTATTGCTACAGGGTTATGATATCTTGCAAAACAGCAGTGTTTACATGCATTAAAAGATCATGTTGGGAATAAAGAAATCACATAAGCTGAACTGGACAACAATCTAAGTAAATATTTACTGCATTTTTTTTTTTTTTTTTAATAAAATATCAAGTTATCAGTGAGATTTTCTCAGGAAACCAATCTGCCAATTAGGGAACCTATACAGATGTAAGTCTACCTACACAGACCTATGACAAATATTTCAAAAAGTGAAACGGAAACGCATTTCAGATAGTAAATTTATTTAGTTTCATTTATTATTTTATTCTTTTCATTTTCAATTTATTAATCTTCTCCTTCTTCGGAGGTTTGCATAACTGCCACCTCACCATAGATGTATTTTCTTGCATCAAATGCATAGCTGCAATGCATTGTGGGCAATATACACCTCTGGAGTGACCATTGTTGCTGACTCGTCCCCTTAGCCCTCTGAGCATCGATCTCACCAAGTTCACTTCAGTTTTCCAGACAAATGGAGCGACATTTATGATGGCGGCAGGGATTTCCCCGAGGGCAAGTGCCGAGGGGAAGTTGACGAGGGCGTGTTGAACAACTAATGAAATGCAGCAAAAATATCATAAAACCTTTCCCTAGGCTTCAACTGCAAAATGTCAGTAAAAAGAGACACATTACGACTACAACGAGATTCAGATTTACTATAAGGAGATGCAAAAACTTTATCAAGAGATGTGGAACAAGTAGAAAGACAAAATTATCAAAAAGAGATGCAAAATAACTATAAAAACAGGCAAAATGTCCATGGGGAGCAAGATGACTACAAAGAGACACAAACTCACTACAAAACAATACAAAATAATCACGACACACATCAATTTGTAGTCATTTAGTGTCTCTTTCAGTCTGGGTGTCTTGATCCTGTGTGAGAGGGGTGGTACATGTCCCTGCCCAGCGCTTTGGCTTGCTGGGCTTCTCATACTGACCTCAGCTTTGCAGCCAGTTAGTTCACAGCAAATCATCTGTAAGTACAGCAAGGCAAACAAATATAGACATGCACAAATAAACAGACAGATAAGCACTGACACGCTGAAATGCAGACAGGAATACATAGAGACAAGCAGACAAATACAAACACACAAACTTCTCAGCACACAACAGCGCTCCCCTGAAAGGAAGCGTCACACTTTCTCTAAAATGAGATCCAAGGCCTGCTGTTCCTATTTTAAACCATTTGGGATAAAAATAACTTCCCAACAACATCACTTGTTGGAAAGTTCATCCAGGCATCTAAAGACAGTTGGGATTTTATTAGAGCCTGTCTTCTGGTTTATTTTGGCTTCCAGGTTTGAAGTTGGAGTGCTCAGCTGGGACATTGAGATCTAAACCACAGACAAACAGCTTGCTGGGAAAAAAAAAAAAACCTATGTCTCTAATGTAACAAATCAGCTAGTTTTTTATCCAACAATCCTTCATCCCCATAAACAGAGTACATCACATTTTTGGAAGCTGTCCCATTGGTCAGTTTGCATATTAAGTGATCAGAACTTAATGGCAGATCAATCACTCTGGCCCTCTCATATATGCAACCTCAGCAGTATACAGATAAGGAGGAGCATTATCCAAAGTAGAAAGACTGACCTTTGGACTTTTATTTTATAGCCTGTAGTCTATGTTTTAAAATTGATATATCATTAACTACAATGTTCATCACTATATCACTTTAAATTCCTCCTCGGAATAGGGAATGCAGTCCCTGTAGTTATTTCCCTTGTACTTGTGCTGATCTCTTGCAAAAGAAAGACAGAAAAAACATTGCCTCAAATAATTCAAAGTCAATGTAGCAATTTGTTTTAGAGCTGCAAAAGTTTTGCTTTTTATCATTTTAGAGATAATTCAGATACCCACAAGCACAGCTCTTTTTTGTGCCTGAATTGTCAAACTGACCATCTCCTCTGGACACAGCTAATGATGAATTTCTTAAAACAAGTTTGCTGGTGTTTGTGTGGAGACATGCTGCAGTCATCTGAGCAGCAGAAAGAGAAACAGTCAGTACTCTCACTATTCAGACAGACAGTCTACTATGTCACAAACTTTGTTATCTTCTTCTCCTCCCTCCTTCCCGTGGTTGTGCAGCCCCGCCCCTTGCTGCCCTAATACGGGGGCATCTCTCTGCCCTCTGGCCAATCAGGAGGCTGGATGCGTCCCTCCTAGAGATGCCATGGGCCTGGGCCAGGCCTGAGGTTTCAGTGAGGGGAGCAACAGGCTGGCTGGTGACAAGGGGCAAAGGCTTGAGAAATAGAGAGAGGGGGAAAAGATTAAAAATACCAACAACAACACGACCAAGTGAAGAAGGGCAGCTGAGGACAGCAGGAAGTCAATGTTAGATAAAGGGAGTCATAGGGAGATAAGGAAAGAGAGCGAGGCTGAGATTAAAGATCTGCAGGTGGAAGTCTGTCACCTTTGAACCACTGGAGGAGGCACGCTGAGGCTGAGAATTAAGGTAGGCTGGATGGATGTGGTTTAATAAAGTCTCTGTGCTGATGATACAGTGCAGTCCGCTGATAGCTGAGGGCTCTCTGTTGTTGCTCTGTGCAAAGAGGAAAGCAGGTGTTAGAAGTCATGGTTGAAGGGGACTGATAACTCACTGTCTGGAGTAGAAGCAGTATAAATGCATCTTCAATAGCCATGCCTTTGTTGCTCTGGGTCTGTACTCTGTGTCTGTATAATTTAGTTTTAAATCAGCCCCAGGACTTGTTTAGTTCTCTAAAATATTGCTTCAACATTTGGCAGCTCAGGAGCAGCTGAGAGCTACACAGAATGGTTTATTTAGCAGTCTGCAGACTCCACATTGCTCACTTCAGGGAGCATAACAATAGCGCGCTGTTTAAATGCAAAGACAGTTTTAGTAAGACAGCTGCCGCTTGTGTTTATTCCAACATGCCAGTTGCTGGTTACAAACACTTGAGCATTCACTGAGGTTTATGGTAACTATTTGCAGTGCGGCATGTCACTATGACTCCAAGTTTATAAGAGTGTTTTGTAATATGACCTGGGTCAAATAACACTTTCAAATTATTCGTAGGATTTATTTAACCTTTAGGTGTGGCAGATGGGTGGGGACCCAAACACTGGGAGTACCACAACATTTCGAAAAAGGAACCTTAATTCTAATTTACTGTAATAATAGAGCGCTCCAGTCAAAAATAAGTTCAAATGGCCTCATGCAGAGCAGAGCTGACAGAGCTGCTGGTGGCGGTCATTTCAAATAGCCCCTGTCTGAATGTTACACACCAACGACAGCTGCAGTGTGAAGGTCATAAGATCTGTTTGCCCCCCAGGTCCAGCTCCACCAGCCTGGTATGCCTGTTGGCCCAAAGTGGGTACAGAGACTGCTGAGGCCAAAACACACCCTTTCTGTGATGGAGGACCACAAACACATTTGTGGCACTGGGTGACATAATGCATGCACTGGGCAATTTTTGGGCCACAGATATTGGTGGTAAAAGGGCAATTTTTACTGTCCAGCAGCTATTAAACAAGGGCGGTGCTGGCCAGGTGTTTTTCTTGCCTTCATTGCCGAAGTATATTCTCATTTAGAACCTTGAAACAGAAAACTCCACTAGTTTAGAAGGTCAAGTTTTCTATTTTCTGATGATTTATTGTTTTCAGACAACTTTTTAGAGTCCATCTGTATCAAGGAGACAATATAGACAGATTCATTTTACTTTTCTTAAAGTACTAAGCCTAAATTCAATATTAAGTTAAATCTTTTGCAATGTCAGCTAAGCAGTAGTGAAATTCCACACATGACAGCAATAGCGGTGACAGTTGAAATGCGAGCAGTGAGCTACACAGTCAAGATGGCAACAAAATGGGATAAATACTACGAAGCTGAGCAGTGATAGGCTATACAATTCTGGCTTAAAGGGACAGTTCACCTCCAAATCACAATTTCTTTTCCTCTTACCTGTCATGCTGTTTAACAATCTACATTGTTTTGGAGTGAGTTGCCAAATGTTGAAGATATTGGCTGTAGAGATGTCTGCCTTGTCTCCAATATAATGGAACTAAGTGGCACTCAGCTTGTGGTGCTCAAAGCACCACAGAAAAAAAAATTGAAAATCTCAGCAGCAATGTTTCTTTCCATAAATCATGACCTGGTTATTTAGGATAATCCACAGACCTTGTTGTGAGCAGTTTCATGTAAGAACTACTTTTTCTCTCATGGACCAGAGACTCGTGCTTGTGACAGCTCAAAATGGCTTGTTCAGTTAAATGGGAAACAAGGCAGACATCTCTAAGGCCGATATCGCCAACACTCGACAACTCACAATAAACATAGATTGATAAGTAGCACTACAGGTAAGAGGAAAAATATGCATTTATTTTTATTTATATTTTTTGCTGCTTAATTGTAATGTACAAATGTTTGGCTCCAGATTTTAGGGTTGTATTTTTAGAGAGAATGTTTTGTGGTTGAAAGCTGATATTCCAGCATGTTTTGATACGTTTATCCATATGGTAGTTAGAGTTGTTGATGTCTCCGATCCTAGTGATGGCGGCTGCCAAACTTCTCTTTACTCCAGCTTGTTTAAAAGGAGGCCAGTAACTGAACTCTCCTCTATATCTGTCGGTACACACTGTTACAGGGATCACAGGTCTGAGTCTGATGCTTCAAATAAAGTCTTATGTGTCAAACACTTGTGGACAATGCAAGAAATCATTATCTGTTATTCTGAGGTAACGTGTTGCTGGAAGATGTACAAAAGCAGCAGGTATGATTTGTGTGTGTATCCATGAGGCTAGAGTAACTGACGTCAGAACTGAAATGATGGATGATGATAGCAGATTCCTGGCGACAGACTTTGGGTGGTGGTGGTTGCGGTTGTGGGTGGGGTTAATTTTAGCCCAGGAAGTAGGGTCAAGAGTTGATTGGGCAGTTCAGGAGAGAGACCTCATGAGGAAACACTGCTTGACGTACAGACAAGGGTGAACTTCCCTCGGTGTATACACAGAGCCGAGAGGACTTATCAGGAAGGAAGACTCATGGAAACAAGTAACTCAAGAGCACGAATCAGTTCATATTTGAGCTATAATTTATTTTTGAAACTGAGAAATACAGTGGATAATCTGTGGCAGATTTTTATCCTTAAATGACTGCAGGGTGTCTCTCACCATGTGCTAAGTGTACCTTATCTCTGTTTCCTGTTTACATGAAGGCATTTCCTGTCCAGAGGCTTTCGCCAGCGGGTGTGTCTTGTTTTGTCCATCTTGTGTTTCAGATGATCAGCAGACATGCTGGGATCTATCTCACTAATCTTGAACAGTTTGGACATTATGCTGTTAGGTGGATGCTTTTATCTAAAGCGGTTCACAGCAGTAATGCTTCCTAAATTTTCAGCTGGTATGGCTTGAGTGTGAGATAGAGCTGTGGCAGGATCAGTGCCCTGCTGTAGCCACTGAACTCTACAAGCTTCAAGCACAACATCACAACAAAAACTGATAAACTATCTATTTTAAGGATCTTTTGGCAGCCGCACTGCCTAAATATGATAAACAGACCTTTTGAAAATGTTCTTAAATTCATCATTGATGATGGATCTGCAATTGCTTTGCTAACAGCAGCTAAATCAGAAACATGATATCATGTTGTTATTGGCTCTTGTGAGTGATTATTACTTCAGAAATCTCAAACTAAACTTTTCTCCTGTGTGGTTCCTCAGCAGTGGAACGAGTTACCTAACTCAACTGTGTTAGCAGAATCCCTCGCTGTGTTCACAAATCGCTTGAAGACCTACATCTTCCAGGAGTAGTTTCTTATTACACTATTCTTTCTCTCAAAAAAAGAAAAGAAAAGTGTCCTTTGCTTTGCACTTATGTGTAACTGCATGCACCTGCAGCATTGTGTAAGTGTTGAACATGAGTGCTTCTCCTTGATCCAGTGGCTTGGATTGTACCTCATTTGTATATTGCTTTGTAAATGTCTTGTCCTAATCACAATGACCTTAGTCTGCTGTGCAGTAGTTTTGCCTGAAAATGACACAATGCTATAGACCCTCATAAAGCATAATATTACTCAATGATAAAATGATTAAATGTCACTTACATCACATGCTAATGACAGACTGCAGCTCATAGACACAACAACAAATGGAAACAGGAAATTTAGTTTGAGATGCCCTCAGTGTAGGAAAATTCCATTTAAACAGGTACTCCAGTGACTTAATACTTAACCTCCATAAAGTTGTTGGGTGCACAAGAAACATATTAAGCACAAAATGGGCAAAATTGAAGCAGCTCCACCTGAGACATCCTGACTTTTGAGCCTCTAGTTTGGGTCAAACTCCAAAAACACTTTATTAAATCTTACATTTCAAAAACAGAAAGCATCTTTTCATTGTCCAGCAAACACACACATCTTTCAAACTTCACCTTAAGAGTGTAATGTTAGGGGCATGTAAGACTTTCCATTAAAACATTCAAGACATGTGATAATGACATGATGATTACTGGACGGTACTTGATTCGTCGCTGTAAAATCAAAGAAAATCAGTGACAGACTTGCTTGTACTCTACTCATGTACACGTCTCCAGTATATGTCCTTTATTCCACTTTCATTTACAGTTTGACTCTTTGATGTCCCTTCACTTTTCAGATTCTTTTTTTGTCACATTTTGACTTTATTCTGCTGATGGAGAATTTTCACTGTTTCTTCTCCTTCCCTGTCATCTCTAATGCCCCATGCTGTCCCATGTGTTCATCTTACATCATCATATCTTATCCAATCATCTTTGTGCCCATATTCCTTAAACCAGTGGTTCTCAAACTGTAGGATGCACCCAACCCCCTTGGGAGTCCATAGAGCCACTGCAGGTGGGGCCTGTATGACCAGCGGAAAAATATGTAGTAAAACAAAGTTGAATAAGGGTTAGGATTAATAATAATAAACATGATTTATGTAGAGAAAACTAACAAGTGTCATGACAGAGACATGACATCAAAAGTTTTAGATTGAATTGATGGTTGCTCTTCTTTTAAGATCATCATGGTGATGTCATTATGTCTGTCATACAGACAGTAAATATTGTCATCCATTTCCAGCCAGTCTTTTCTTATTGTTTTTAGACTCTATGTATTTTTGACTCCATAAATGTCAGTTCATGTACACGTATTGTGCTCCATACAATACACCAGCAGATACAATTCTGGGAAAGTAGAGAAAAAAAGATTAACAATAAATAAATTTAGAAACGGCAATATACTGCTGCTTTATTCACGCATGTGTGGCCCGCCTCCGCAACATCTTCACTGTTCCTGCTCTCAAAATAAACTAATGCTGCTGATTTCTAAATTTCAGTGTTATTTTTAAGAACAGATGTTATTTGTTAAGATATTGGCAGTCAGTCTGGTGTCTGAAATAGAAGCAGTTTCCCTCCTCTAGTCTTGTGATTGTCCTAAAATTAGATCCAATAAGATTTTTGTTATGTACTCAGGCTGCC